TGGACCCTCTCTGGTTCTCAGAAAGCCCCCAGTGTATTCGATATAGAATATCAAATAGAAGGGAGAAAGGTGAGAAGTGCCGGGCTCGAGGCACTTCCCAGCTCGGGTCACTGTACGCATCCCTCTCATTTGTGGTCCACCCCCCCTGCACACCCCACGAGCACACCTCTGCCTGGGGTCAGGCTGGGGCAGCTGGCCCCAGCCCTGCCGCAAGACGGATGGTTTTACTGCACCGGGCTTATCATCTCCACTTGCTTCCAGACATCCTGACCATACAGACCAGAAAATTGGCCGTCTTCACCTTTCCCGCTGCATGCCGTGATCCGGGTTAGCAGTGAGCTGGACCGTTTTACAGCAAAGCTAAACCGAAGCCAACCCACCGCTAGCCTTTCTCACAACTCCTGCTTTCTGTCATGTGCACGTCTTCCTTTGCTCAGCATTTGCATCGTGTTTTGGCCCGATCTTCTTCCCTCCAGCCTGTTTTATGCATCTCTCTGCCCATCGCCGCGTTTGCTCTCTCTCATATGCCACAGCCTGGAGACAGGCAGTCGGAAACACCCCAGCCAGTCTTTAACAACAACAACAAAAATAAGAGATGCTCATCCCGTGCTGAAGTCGCGGAGTGCTGTGGGCAGGACCTGCCTCCGAGGAGCCCAGGAAATCTGTGCAGTTGAGTACAAAAGCAGTGTGGGTCCTAAAGGCAACACCCATTCGCTCCAACCTGAGAGGTCAGTTGGTGAAGCAGGAATACATGAGGAAAAGTAGCTTCACACCGGTGTGAGACACAGACGGGCAGAGCGGGGCACAAAGCCAGGTCACTTCAAGCTGCATGGAAAGTTCACAACAGGTGAGAACTGCCCTCTTTAGGCAGCAGAAGATGCCTCTTCTGACTGTCTAAAACATCAGCCACAGCCCCGGCCACGCACACATCGCCGCTTTGGCAATTTCTGTATTGCCCTGATGATCCAAGCTCCATCTCCCAGCTTCCTTGCCCTGGCCACCCATCTGTCACCCCGAGGACGCCCCGCTTATGGCACGGAGCCCCCCGGCTTATCTATAAAGGGTGGGACATAAGGCAGCCGGCGCACCCAAAGCCAACGTCTTCACGGGATCCGGTCCCACCGCTTCCCGAGGCCGGCGGGTGAAATCTTCAGGACAGAGCCCGCCAGACAGTGCGGATGAGGCCAGTGAACTCTGCTGCTGAACCCCGAGCACCACCAGCAGCGGTGTTGTCACAGCCTCCCCTTTGGCTAAGGGGCCGGGCAGGGTTCCGTGTGCCTGGACGCTTGCCTGCTCTGTTCTCCCCACAAACCTTGCTTTGCCCAGTGTCGCTGCACATGGTGCTCGAGTATTCTTGCAAGCAGATGCAACAAAAATACAGGTGCAGATCGATTTGTGATATCCAGGTCATGAGAGGTGATTCTGCTTTTTTATTTCCTGCATATTAGAACGGTGCTAACCAAGATGAAAGACATGTTTATCTTACAGTATTGCTAAGGAAGAGATCAAAGACACATGGAGGACCTGGTGTCATGAAAAACTCTTGTTTTGGACCATAATCATCATCTTGGCTGTTTGCTGAACCCTAATAAAATCCTCTTAGCTATGGGTTGGGCAGTGTCATGAAAAACTCTTGTTTTGGACCATAATCATCATCTTGGCTGTTTGCTGAACCTCTTAGCTATGGGTTGGGCAGTGTTGCACGGAGTATGCCACAGTGGTTGCAGACATCATCATACAGACTGAAATAACCACACGGCAATTACTGAGACTAGATATTTTTTATCACAAACGAACTAACTGTCAGCAAATCCAGTCCTATAGTGGCCATAATTATTATTATTTTTTTTTAAAAAAAAAACAGCGTTATTTTATCAGTGTTGGAATATTACCAGTTCACCTCACCTGTTTTAGTCTGTCTGAAATTCCCCTGCTTCTCTCCCACCTTAACTAATAGAAATAACACTGTGCCATTTTGGTGCAACAGCTCTTCCCTTACTCCATTGAAGACATTAAGGAACATATTAGCCAGGGCTGGATGTGGTGTGGAAGCTTGACACCCTGCTCTTATTTTGCTCTGAAATGATGTTTTGTCATTCTTTCAGCCAATTCACCAAGTCAAGTTGCCAAGTACAGTTTGTAGGCTGCTAATACCCCTACTCGATTCTAAATAGATTTACTATTTTTAATTGTTTTATGACAGAAGTTGTTTTTAACAAAAGCTTGTGTATTTTTGTTAGCAGCTTACCTGCTTTATACTTATGTTCCTGCAGAAGTTTTGTATGTAAACACGTGTATTTGGAGATTCTATTTTTCTAATTTTTTTTACTGCTTTTTTTTATGCATGCTGCCTTCTGACTCTTTGGTCTCTGAGTCTTGACTAAACTGCAGAGGGGGATGCTCAGATCTTACCTGACATGGAGTAGGGGTAAACTGGGGATGTGCAAACCTGGCACCATCTACTCATGCTTCAGGCTTTCCAGACCAGATACATCCTGAAAGTGCAACGTACGCTGAATGCTCAGATGTGCAAATACAGTAATTGCTGCAGGGATAGTTGCTTTAAAAAAAAATCAGCGGCAGTAATAAGCACACTGTGCTTCTTACATAATAGCTGAGTGGTTTGAGCATTTGGTTGAAGAGGGGAAGTTGTCCCTATTCCAGGACTCTGTTTGCACTTACTAGCCCATATTTTGTCCTGTTCTTCTCTAGTCTAAAAAGCATAGGTTCTTCAGGGAATACGGGCTGGAACTTTGTCCCCTTGTTCATGTGAACTTAAATACTAGGCTAAAAAACCTCAGATTTCTTTTCTTTACTGTGTTCCTGGGCTTCACATCTTTATGGCCATAGCCATACCAGCAAGGATCAGTTTCTCCCAATGAGACTATTTTCTTGAAAAGTGAAATATCTGAAAAAGACTGAGGGGGATTAAAAGACTTTCTCCTTCATGGGCAAATGCTGTAGCACTGATTCTGTTACAGAGGAGGTCGGTCTCACACTCATCTGTCTCCCCCAGCATTACTAAAGAAAAAAGAAATGTGTCCCATCAGATGATTGCCCACAGCAGAGGAGCCTGCCCTCAGTCCCTGGGACTTCTTACTCCGTAGCCTGCAGTCACCTCTCCCCTTGGCAAAGTTTCTTTCCCCTCCCAGGTAACCGACCCTCCCCAAGCTGCTACGGACGGTGCCTAAGAGCTTACTGCTCCGTACAGTCCTGCTATGCTTAAGTGCCCAGTATTAGGAAAGATGATGCCTAGTTTGGGGGCACCTAAAATGATTTTTTTTTTTTTTTTTTGCATAGAGGGGGGAAAAAAAAAAAGCATACGCAGCCTGTCAAAATTGTCTGCAGGTGCTCAAAGCCCCACATAAATTCCAGATGCAATCCCAAGCGACTGTTTCCCAGCACTGCCTAATCTTGTGAGCACCTCCCTACTGAACCTGAAAGCTCCTCAGGCGTTTAACTTTATTCACCCACACATGTTAAGGAGATCCTGTTTGGGGAAGATAGGCACTTATCTCTTGCCTCAAGTCCCACTGCAAACCAGCTTAGGAAGACAGGCATTTAAATCCCTTTCAGAAGGCTGAAAAATTAACAGCAGTCAGAATTATGACTGGCTTCTGCCGGCATGGGCCATCAGCTTCGACATACGTGCGAAACCCAGAGAGCACGTCTCGAGCTCAGCACGGGAGTGGAAGCGCCGGTTGGACCTTTTGAGAGGGATTGATCGGACGCTGCCGACGTTTCACAAGACGGGCCCGACACTCGCGCCGTGCTTGGGCAACATGCGCCGACCTCTCCCGCTGAGCCTGAGCCACGGCGGGGTGGGCACGGGGGGTTGTGGGCTCCAGTTCTCCTCTCAAGGGGCGCAAACCCGCGTCCCTGGAGAAGGCGTGTGTCATACGGGAGACTGTCACGGAAGGAGAAGGGGAGGGCACAGCCTCACAACCTCCACCGCGGGCCAGAGAGCGTCTGAGCTGCCAGGTCTACCCTTGGGTTCGCTTTTGTCTGCTCTGATGTGGCCCCGTGCCTCGCGCGTTCCTGGCTGCACAGGCTCCCAGCTGCGACACCTAACCATCCACGCTACCCCCGATGGCTGCTGATTATGCCATTCGGCTGGGAAGTTTGAGCTCAGGGCTTAATTAGAGTCTAGAAACATCACCCACTTCCTTTCTTCCAGCTTCATGCATCTTTATGCAAGAGGTGGGTGGAAGCGCTGCGCTCACATACTGCTTCATTAGTGCCAGTCCTGCGGGAGGGACAGATAGGCTGGAGCGTGCGTGGATGGAGCGTTACTAGTGTTTCCGACGACTTCCCGGGAGGATATCTGTGCTGTAACTGCAGGCTGGCTTTGCTCACTGGCGCTGCGAGTTCAGCTGCAGTCGGGTGGGAAGGTGGAAGCGCTGTGGGCACCTCGAAGGAGGCAGTCACCTTCTGCAGGTCTTCAGAAGTGCCTCTCTCCGTCCGCTGCCCGTACAGCAAAGCTGGGGCAATTAGATTGCTCCTTTCATCCCTCCCAGGGCTCAGGCGCCTAAAAATTTCATTGAGGTAATAACGTCTCAGTGAGGTATCTGAAGTAGATGGACAAGATTCCAGCCTGAATGCTCGAGGCTTTGCAGTTAATGATTGCAAGAAAAAAAAAATCATAGTATCAGTAAGAAGTAAAGATGGGGACTATTGAAAACCAAGGAAAAGAAAGTGTCAGTTAAAATTAGGATGTATTCTAAGACACTATTTGAAAAGAATCAAAGACCTACAGCCGTTTGTTAGTATTTTCATTCCTCGTCCATGTTGAAACATGTTGAAACAGTGTTGAAACAGATTTTCCTCGTCCTTTCTGTGAAGCCATACTCATGAGCCACGGAGGGTTGAAAATAATTTTAACACCTTGAGAAAAAGCGGTGGGACCAATAAGACCATAACGTTAACCCATCGATTGATTGTTCCCCACTTGGTCTAATTCATTGGATAGCATTGTCTGAAAAAAGACAGAGGAGTCTTTATTTTCGTAGCTTGAATATGCACCGATTGATTTTATTCTACTAGAAAACCTAAGAAAGCATGGTCTATTTATATATGGATTGTGTAAATACACTCTAGGCAGGTTTCACAGTTTAATGTTGCAAAGGGCTTTCATTAACGCTATAGTTCTGAGGAAAGGATGTAAAGCAACATAAAGGAGATTTGATTTTTACTGAGATAAGTTGAAAGAATAATTCACCTTTGCTAAATGTCAGTGCTTCTTCTTTCATGTCTTTTTATGTGATGCTTTCTACCACTCCACATATGACTGAGAACAATATATGTTAAGAATGAATCCTTCATTGATGTGACTTCATGTTGTTTTATTATTTATGTTTGCATAATTTCATGTGTTAATAATAAAAAAAAATAATTCACCAGAGATACACAGAATTAAGTGATTGATTTTGTCCTGGAGCAACTACACAACATGCTTTTACTTTATGTGTCTTTCTGACAGAAGACAGAAAGTCAGTTCTGCTGAGCAATCTGATCTGACATTGAAAAAGTGTATTGTTAACTATATTTTTTCTAGAAAGTAGGTTTATTTATTTTTTTTTTAAAAAAGGGGAAGGGGAGATTACATTTCAACTGCACTTCCCGAACTTTGTACAGCTCCCCAACATCCTCAAAGAGTACCTAAGGGTTTGAAATTGAATATATAGATCAACATCTCCTCCTGTCAAATGTCTGTTCGTATTTTTTTTTTTTTGTTTTGTATTAATATATGAGGCTCATCTGCATTTATGACACCCCGCCAGTTCTGTGAACGAACACCACGGTGTCGGGGCTAGGCGCTGTGTTTCCCGTAGCCGAAACCAGCCGTCTACCCGGAGAACTGCTAGGCAGGACGTGCTCCTGCTTCTGCCCCGAGTACCCGGCGTCTTAAAAAGAAGGCAGAGGATTAAAAACCGACGGCGCGAAACTTTTGAGCGAAACGAATAAAGGCGTAAGTGACGCGGCTGGTACAAAACTCGGGCGCCTGACGTAGGAAGGGGTTTGTACCTAAAGTTGCGTTTGGAGGCACCGGCACCCGCAAGTGCGAGAGCCGCGACCGCCGCACCGGCAAGCCCCGAGGGCTGCCTGAGGTGACGGGGGGTCGTGCCCGGGGGACGCGGCCGCCCTTCACCTTGCGCCGGCGGAGGAGGGAAATCCCGAGGGAGCTCCCCGGGCGCTTTTCAGCCACCGGTGCCCGCCGCCTCACCCCGACCAGACCCGGCGGCGAGGGCCACCGCCGGCCCCGCTCCCCGGCGGGGGCCGCCCCGCCGGTCCCGGCCGCCCCTTCCCTCCCCGCGCCGGCCGCGCCGCGGCCCTTCCCCCGCCGCACATGCCCAGAAGGGCGGGAGCCGCGGCGCGCCCGGGCGCTGCTGTGACAGCGCCGCCGCCTTCCCCTTCCGCTGGCTGGGGGCCGCGCCGCGCTCCCCCCCCCCCCCCCCCGGCTTCAACCCGGCCCGGCCCGCTCCGGCGGAGAGCTCCCACCGAGCCAGGCCCGGGCCGGCCGCTCGCCTGGCTCCTTCCCCGCCGCGGGGCGGGAGGCGGCCATGTCGCTATTGTCTGCGCTGGTGCCCTTGCTCCGGGTCTACCGCATCGGCCTCCTCGTCATCCTGCACCAGCTGCGCCGCCGCCTCCTCCTCCTCCTCCTCCGCCCGCGCTGCCCGCCGGCCCCAGGTGAGCACCGCAGCCGGCGCCGCGGGGCGGGACGGGGGGCGGCAGCCCCCGCCGCGGGGAAGGGAAGGGAGGGGGTGGGGTGGGGTGGGTAAACTTTGCCGCGCCTCCCCCCCCCCCCCGCCCGGGAGACCGGTGTCCCGGGGGACGGCCCGTGCGCTCAAAAGACAGGGCAGCCGCGACCTTGGCCGCGGCGGCGGGTCCCCCGGGCCGCGCCGCGCCGCTTCCCCCGCGGCCGGGCAGGGGCTGAGGCGCCGCCGCCGCCGCCGGGCTCCTCCTCCGCGGGCCGGGCCGGTCCCGCCGCCCCGCGGCCCCGAGTGAGGAGGGTGGCGGGGGGGGAAGCTGCGGCTGGCGGGGCGCCCTCCCCGCCGCGCCGGGCCCCGCCCTCGCCGCCTCCAGCGGGCGGCCGGGCCCCGGCCCCCGCCGCCCCGTCCGGCCCCCCCCCCCCCCCGGGGCCGCGGCCGCCCCGGACGTGGGGCGGGGCGGAGGGCCGGGCCGGGCCCGGGACGGGCGCCTGGCTGCACGGCGCCCTGACTGCGGCCTCGGGAGGCGGCGTGTTTGGGGGGGGGGGGGGGGGGTTCCGCGGGCCGGGGGTCCCCGCTTCTCCTCTTCCTCTTTTTGTGCTTTCGGACGGTTTCGGCTCAGACCTCGGCTCAGCCCCCCCCTCAGCCCAGGTAGGTGCTTGGAAGGCGGGCAGCCCCCGCCGGCCGCTCCCGGGGAGGGAGGGGGGGGGGGTCGCGCCCGCGTTCCCAAAGTTTAGTCTTTGATACCGGCTGTCACCCGCCGGCAGCCTTTAAGCTGACAAGCGAGTGACACTTGCAGTTTTCTCCATGGGACTTCAGATTAGTCATTTGCGGGAGAAGTTACATTTTTTGCACTTTTCCGATTTGGGTCAACAGCGTGTGTAATACTGACTAGAGCGAAACTTTGTCAGAAAGCAAAGATCTGAATTTCCTCTTTCCTCACGTTGCTCTTAAGGGCTTTAAAATGCTTCTGAGTTTGCAAACTTACAGCAGACTACGAGTCCGGACGGACGCGTAGGGTATCATCAGAGCTAAGCATACAACTGCATGCGAAACAGTGTCTTTTAACTTTTTCTGCTTAGCAGCAAGGGAGCCTTTGTGGCTCTGTCGATGGTTTTAACCAGAGGAACAGTAAAAAAAAAAAAAAAAAAAAAAAACAACAAAAAAAACCCAAGAAAAACAAACCCCATAGTATTGAGAGGTCATAGTGTTTCAGTAAGGAGATGAGGCAGATGAGGCAATTGTTTGAGAGAATATCTAAAGCACTGGGGAGGAGATGGGACAAGTACACCACACAGTAAGAGCGTATTTGTGCATTTCATCACACGTGGCTTCCTTGGGTAGCGTTTTGTCTACTTTTTATTCATTCCCAATGCCTCTGTGATAGGCTGGGATTCTCCTTTCTTCTTCTCAAAGGGCAGAGATAAAACCCCCAAACAAACAAAGAACCCTGGTGACAGAAAGGGCAGATGCTTGTACAGTTTGAAGTCATCTGAGCATTTTTCTAGCGTTAGTTTTTCTTGGCAGAGCAAAGCTGGGTATTGTGCCTAGGGTGTGTAATGCTTTCCAAATCTTTTTTTGAACCAAAGAGAAACAGCATGATGAAAATGTGACCAGAGCGTTTTGTTGCAGTCAGTTCCTAGCTGCTACTTAAAAAAAAAAAAAAAAACAAACCAACAACCCTAAAAAAAGTGTTGAATTTGGAAATGCTTAAGGAAAGCAGTGGAAATCCAACCTGGGAAATGTCAGTTGCCTGAGCAGGACCAGGGCAGATCTGACAGACGTGGAAAGTTTTCTTTCAGTCCCAATTTGGGGTGGTTTCTTCCAAAGACGAGTCGTTTCTTCCTCAGATAGTTGTTTGCACACAGTTGCCTCTTGGCAGTTACCTCCTGCCTTGCTTCGACTCGCTGTGTCCAGCCGTTGCTTAAAAAAGTGAATCAGCTTGTCAACAGGAACTTTTTTACCCCGATTAACCTTGTTTCCATAATAACTTCAAAATAGAAAATGCAGCGCAACAACAGGAGAAAGTGTTGATTAGAACATGCTTAATTAAAGTTTGAATCGTAAACTACACTCGCTGTAGGAAAATGCCAAATAACTTTTCCAGACAGCCATCTAGAAAGGTGCGTCTGTTTGAATTTTTCTGTATTTTTTTTTTTTTTTTTTTTGAGGGGTGTCTGTAACTCTCACAAATACAGGCATTTCATTGTCAGGGTGCCTTTCCCAGGAGAGGCTGGAGGGGACAAGCGGGGCTGGGAAAGGCAGGGCAGGGCGGCAGAGTCAGCCATGCCTCCGATCCCGTCTCCTTGGCCCCAGTTCCCCCGTCAGCATTCCCACTCCTCACGCGGTGGTGGTGCGGTTCTCCCGGGGAAGGTTTAAAACCGAGGGGATGCCCAGTGGCTCATCCTTGAGCTCTGTGGGTGAGCGAAGGGGTCTGGTGTCAGTGCAGCCCTTCTGCCTCCAGATTTTCCAAGAAAAGCTTGCTTTCTTGTACTCGCTGGGAAGATGTGTTCAGGATTTCAATCCAAGTAAACCAAATTAGTTTCATTTTTCTTTTCTTTTTCTTTGCCCTAACATAGTCAGAGTTGCATGCTCTTGGCACGTGTACTTTCGCCTGGCTTTTAAAAACGACCATCTGTTCTGTCACGTCCTACTGGGGCACATCGAATTTTTTTTATGTGGGATTCAAGACAGTTTTGGGGGAAAGAGGGCAGTTTGAGCTCTGTAATTTAGATTCAGTGCAAAAACTTGGTAATTGTTTTGATGCACAGACCGAAAAGATAGTAATACTCGCTACTGAAGTGAGCGTCTCCCCCAGTACAGGGTAGGGAGTTAGTCTGAAATTCTGATCTTGAAGCTCAGGGAAGGGAAATAGAGAGCTGGGAGGATAAACGGTGTACAGCCAGTGATTGCTTCGCTAACTGAAATCAGTGTGCAGAAGTAAAGGGGAACTTATATTTAACTTACTTTAAAATGCTTTTCCAAGTACTAATTGCATAAACGGTATAACTGCCGATATGTAGTGTAAACTGTGTTAGTGTTCAGTGATCTAAATAATTACTGCTTGAATGTTTTTGTTTTTCAGTGCTTAATCTTAATTAGTTGGAGAAAAAAAAATCAGCAACCCTGCATGACTAAAAATCTTGATATAAACAGCTTTTTAAAAACAAAAATTCTAATCAATGGATTGATAAAATCAAACTAATATTAATTGTGACACCCAGATATTAACACTGGAAATGCGGTCACTGAAAGTCATCCTACTGATAACAAAAATGGTTATAATAGTAATAGTCATCATCATCTCTTTAGGATATTTTACAAGCTCCTCGGGGAATTTGTTTGGCATCATCTTTCTGCATTTTCTCTTCTACTATATGTGTTTCATTGAAATTTGGTAGGGGAAGATAAATGCTGAACATTCTGTAGTTTTGAAGTCTTTGTAGTTAAATTTGGTACCTGTGATGTGTAGAAAACTGTCTCTGAAGAAGGTGGTAGTGTGACTGAAGTTCTTAAGACCTTAAAGATGACTCCTGTTCTTACAAGTGCTTGAAATTTCATACATATTTTTACTTTGCCCCAATTTCTAGTTATTCAGTATCATCAGTTGTACCCAGCTTCTTTACAGTTAATCGTGAAATTTGGGAACACGCATCTCTTAATTTTGATTCATGTATTGAGGGCTTTTAATTTATAGGAGTAAAGCATAATGGTAGAGCAAGCACCTCCGGCTCAAAGGTGTGCGAGCTCTAGGTTGTAAAATATCCAGAGGTGGGTAGAGAAGCGACCGGGTAGGAAGGATTGTCAGCAGGCAAAAATAAAGTCGCATCTAACAATTAATCCCTCCCTCCCACACGTGCACCTGAGAGAGTTATTTAGGTAGTTTCAGCAGTGGGGAAACGCTCGGTTTGTGGTTGCCCCTGCGCTGCAAGAGGCAGGGGTTGCGCGATGGCCATACCCGGCGTGGAGCTGGGGAGGCTGCCGTCGCCGTGTGCGCACAAGGGGGCAGAGCTAAGGTTGCAGGGGTGGCTGCACTCCCCACGTTTCCTCACATCCCCGTGCCTGGTTTCACAATCCCAGTGACTCTCATGCAGGGTTTTGAACCGATTTCCTTCAGCGCTGGGGCACCCCAGCCCTGCCCGGTTCCGGGGTAGCACCGCCGCCCTCCTCAGCGCCTGGCATTGCGGTATTTTGGCCCAAGCCCTGCCCTGGAGAGGCGGGGGGGGGGGGGAGTCGTGGGTTTGCGTTAGGAGGGTTTGCCCAAAGAAACCCGGGGCCTTCCCCTTCCTTCTCCTCCCGTGGCAGCTGAGTCCGCTGCCAGGCCAGCAGAGGATCCTGTCTGCAGGCTCGTAAAAGCCTCGGCCCCGGTGGCGTGGGCCAGCTGCGTGGAGGAGGCGAGGGAAACGGCAGCTTCTCCGAAGGTGCGCCCTGTTTCAGTGTGGGTGGGAATCCAAGGGAGAAAGGAAGAGAGGCAACGTTTGTAGCCTGAAGGCTTCTGCGTGCGGAAGGGTTTTCAGCAAACCGAAGTGGCACTAGCTGTTTTTATCCTGAAAAGTTCGGCAAGCTAAAAGGGAGCGTTTCCATCGGCTGCCCTTGGTAACAAGCTCAGGCGCTTCCCAAAGGCAATGAAGTGCTTCGCTCCCAATGGATTTAATTTTGCAAGGTGCTGGTGTCTTCAGTTTGGCTCAGAGTTGAAGCTGCTCTAGTTTTTGCTAGCTTACGAGCACTGTTTCACTGAGAGAGGAAAAAAAATTACCTCTTCTTAGAGAAAAATGAGAGGTATGGCATTATTTTTTGTTTTGGGTTTTGTTTTTTCTTTTTTCATTTTGCCACTTACACAGTATAACACTTGAGGAGAGGCAGGGATGATTAGCAGTTTATATTTGAGCTATTATGACAGCTGGAGTGTGGTTTACAGCATTCTAATAAAGGCTGTGTTATGCTGGCGTATCCTTAACTGTGGCAATGCTACTCTGTGCC